TGAATTTTATTTGCAATGAAACAAAAGGTGGTGGTTTTTTTAAGCAATTAACCCTAATTTTTATAATGACGAATTGGTAATAAAATACACTACTTTTTACTTGATTGTCATTTAATCACTATATTTACACCTTGATGATAACTCCGATGGAGACGAGATCAACCCAGATTCGAGGGTAAATCATTCCCAACCGGGGGAGGATGATGGAGACGAGATCGCAATAGCATTTATGGACAAATATAATCGTTTACCGTCCTTAGTTTAGTTATTTATTTCCTATCTATTTTATTATTATGTTTTATTTCTCTTTCCCTAATTAGGAGTTGAATAATCCATGTTATATGGAATTTATTTATTTGGTAAGTTAAGATTTTAGCCTAGTGAGGACTCTATATATTGTCTCTTCCTTTTGAAGACGATCAAAAGTTTATGAAATAATTTATCAGATTGAGTTTTCTCATCTTGTTCCCTTTTCGTTTATCGCTACGCTACATCAATTATGGTTGCAAGGTAATTGTCGATACTGTTTCATTTGATTCGTATTTTGCTAGGGTTCGAGGTTTTAATCTTGTTTGATTTTTCAAATTTTACGGGGATTTGTTGCTATTATTTATCAGATCACAGAGGGAGATTTATCATTGTTAATGGGTTTGAGGAGTATCTAGGTGATTGCATTGCCATAGTTAGTGGGTCGGATCCAGATAAGTTTGGTTATTTTGACATTGTAGAAGAAATAAAGAAGTTGGGATATGCAAACTGGGGTAAAATATGTTATAAGCATCGGAGGACACATGAATTTATGGAAATACAAAACGATGTTAGTGTTATGGAGTTGTTGGGTCAAATGCAGGGAAGAAAAAAATTGTTGGAATATATGTTGATACTGAAGCTGTTGAGGTTCAACAAGTAAAGGAATATAGGAATAAGCTATATGAAGTTGTTGAGGTTGAACAAGTAAAGGAGTCTAGGGTTAAGAATTGTTGAGTTTCCTTTAGATGAAAGTGAGGATGATGACTATGAACCATCTGAGGAATCTTTAATTAGTGATGGTATGTCTGAAGAATATCTACAGGACATGAGATGAGGAATATCTACAGGACTGGAGAGAAGTTTTGGAATCTTGAAAGTCACAAGGTGGTGGAGATGCAAATATTTCCTTTGTCAACCATCATGACGTTGTTGGCAACATTACACCTGTAAAAGAGTTAAAGTCGGAATATGAAGATTCTTAATGGAATGTGAACACTGACTCATCTAATTGTGAGGATTTTGATGATGATATGAAGCAAGGCCTAAGAAAAAACAAATAGTTTATGATACTAAGGGAGATCTACAGTCCTTCCAATTTTATCTTGGGATTAGGTTTGATAGTATTGGGCAATGTAGGCAAGCAATCCAGAGTTATTCAATCTTTAGTAGATGAAACCTAAGTTTCTTCATAAATAGTTCCAGCCAGGTTAAAGCTAGGTGTCAAGAGAGTTTTCCATGGAGGCGTTGTGCTAGTTTAATGAAAGTTGAAGGTAGAGTGGCTATCACGATCATTGTTAGTGGCAACGACTGCCATAGGGTTTTGAACACTAAATAAGCAATTGGTTCATGGACTGTTGAGGAGTATATAACTATGTTTAGGAAAAAAAAAAAGTTAGGATGAAAATTGTTGACATAGAGGATTCTATCAATGAAAAATATGGTGTGCAAACCTCTAGGTGGAAACTATACAAAGCAAAAACTAGTCTCTTCAAATGCTTAGAGGTTCAGAAGAGAAGCATTGTGGGAAAATTAGGAGGTACATTGCCGAGATCTGAATGGTTGATAGAAATGACACATTTCACCTTGTATTGGAGACTGGTTGTAGAACTTTCAAAACGGGCCAGCAGGATGGGTCGACTCGTAGCACGCCAAAGTCCGGCAATTGGCGGGGCATGGCGGGTTGGCTCTTCCAATTGGCAAGCCTACAAAATGCATGCCTAACCCGCCCCCACCTCGGGTCATGGGTTTGACAGGCCAAACCTGCCACTTAAAAAAAGAAAGAAAAAAAAAACGGTTTAAATTTTAGAAAAAATTGAATAAAGCTCACAATTTTCAAAGTCTAAGAGCAACTCCAATGGTCCATGGATTGCTCATTTTTATTGCCATGTGGCATTCAAAATGTCTAGAAGTCTTTCTATATCTAGAAGTACTTCTAGACATCCTCTATTATATTTTTTATTATTTATTAAATATATATATATCATCACCAACCAATTATAATGTAACACATGTCAAATTATACTAAAATTGACATTCACCATTGGAGACAAAATTTTGTAGCTCCCTTTTTCCATGTTATACATCTCCAAATGGACTATATACCATTGGAGATGCTCTAACTCAGGTGCACGACAAAGGAAGAGTGATGGAGGACATGGGGAGGGGGTATGCTGTCGGCAAAGCTTCCGTCTACCGGTTAGCTTTATGAGTCCGGGAAATTAAGGTTACGATGATAAGGGGTTGAGATTCACGAAGAAAGAGGAGACTAACTGGTGAGTTACGAATATTGCGTTTTTTGCTCTTGGTGGGCAGATATTTTAGTGGGTTATCCACAACTCAGGAATGAGGTTCAGTTGTGGGCTTCTGTATTTGGACCAATCGTTGGCAGTGGCTAAGGTGTTGAAGTTGGCTTCCAATTTTGAAGTAGTTCGGCCAAAATTTCTGGTCGGGCCAGCTCAAATTTTGGGCTCCTATATTTGATCTCTTATATATATATATCTTAATTGATGGGCTGACCTTTAAATAATATTGTTCAAATATTCGACATAGCTAGACCTGCTAACAGTTAGATATGTTGGAGTACACGTGGAGCAAGAACCTAAATTTTACGGGTAGTAAAGTAACCATCGAGCAGGCCTTCAGGTAGTTAGAGCACTTGGGCGGTGACCTTCAAACAGCCGAGTAGGGCAAAACTAGCCCAACAAGCCATAAATTCACTATAAATAGGTATAGGTATGAAAGGTAAGAGGTTGCACATACTAGAATCTAAAATAGCATTACATGCATTCTATACAAGCTTTGCTTGATCCTTTATTGACTTGATCGTCTGAAAGTTTTACACCGAAAAACATCTCTTGACGTACTTTGTAGGCCTCCAGGGAGCAAATGAATGAAATGACCAATGGAAAACCGGTTCGAGATGCAACAACACATGAAAGGACCAATGGAAAACCGGTTTGAGATGCAACAACACATCACTCAAGACACTACTATATTGCTACATATTTATATGTAATTGCAGATGAGAGAATACATGAGCTGGAATTCAGTTCAATAATCAGTAAACAAAAAAAAAAAAAAAAAAAAAAAAAAAAAAAAAAAAAAAAAAAAAAAAAAAAAAAAAAAAAAAAAAAAAAACGAAAAGTACATCCCTTGCATCAAATTCTAAAAGCTTCACAAATGGAGAGAAAAGACAATTTGCCACCATATATCACATCCAGGTAGAGATGCTAAAGCCCCTTTTTTGTAGCAGCCACACTCCAGTTCTATATGTACAGCACAATCCCATTTTCTTACAGTCAAAACAGTTTTCCTTCTTCCACCTTTTTCTTTTTTCCCTCTTACCTTTTTTGGTCATAAACCTCCCATCCTGACTGACTCACGGGACCCAAAAGAACGATCGGTCAATAACACAACACCCATCAGTCAAGACCACAAAATAAAAATAGATAGAAAAACATAGGGCCTCAAATCTTTTCACCCAGACAGCATTTTCATGTTTGGCCGCAGGGGCTCAAGAACCGGCTCATTGCTATGGGCTTTGGCCGTGGCTATTTCTTCTAGGCGTTTCCAGGTGGCCTCTCGTTTGGTCGTGATTTCCTGTTCTTGGGCCTCATCTTCTTGGAACTTGAGCAGGCACTCACCTAATAGGTCGGGGTCCGAGTCCGAAAAGATCTTACGGACATTAAGGGTCAGACTCTGGACAGCCTGATTCCAGTGGGTCCGTGCGTTTTTCTCCAGTGAGGGGAAGATGATTGGGAGTATGACCTTACGGTTTTGTTTGATGAGGTTCTCTATGTGATCGTTGTTCCATAAGAAGAGGGCTCTTTCAGCCACCTGTAACAAGAATTTAATTATCACTTCTTTTAATTTACCTTTTACAGACAGTAAAGCACTTTCACGAGAACACGTTTTCTAAGACACGCCATTGAAGTTAACTCGAATGGCCAAGTCTTTGATATTTATCGTTCAGGAAACCATAAGAAGGATCATAATAGATTAAGGAGCTTTTTTCTTCCACGGGAAAATAGAAGTACTAAAATAAGATGCATTTGGCGTTACACAAGTTACTGGCTGATAATAATCTTACCTAAAAATCATGAGATTTACAGAGCACAGACAGCAGAAAATTGGACATTTTCAAGGATTACAACTTTATTACAGTATCTTACTGTTTATCGCTTAATAAGAAAGCTGTAGCACGCTAATGTAGTGAGAAAATTGTTCCATTAGTAAGTATCCCTATTAAGATAATTTATTTTGGCAAATTACATGCGTAAGCAACAGCGCATAGTCATAATTCATAAAGTCGAAATGGAAATAACATTGGCAAAAAGATAAGGGACGATTGACTCGGTCACCTGGCCAATGCAAAGAAAACAAATTTTGAAGACAGAATATAGAATAATCGCATTAGTAAAGCAATCTCTGAAGTAGGGAAAAAAAAAAGAAGAAGAAGACGAGAATTTAAGCCCGAGTAGTTAAATAGATATTTGCATTAGTAAAGCAATCTCCGAAGAAGGAAAAAAATAAAAAGAGAGAATTTACGCCCAAGTAGTTAAATAGATTTTATAAGGTGGTGCAGTCCTTTCTAATGACAAAAAATATTGGAGTTTTTTTCTCTTCCTTTGAAAACAGAAATTAGAGTTTGCTACTCTTTTTGACTCCCTGAAGTCTGACCTACTTTACATGCAATCAATCAAATAATAAGTCACATACATTAGATATATCTACATCATAGAACTTCAAAATATTAAGAATGGTGTCAAATAAGCCTCTCATTAGCTCCACTTAAAACAGCTATAAGGAGAACACTAAAAACAAGATAGTGATTACTGTGTAAAATTTCATATGTGAGTAAAAAACACTCGGGATTAGACGCATATTGATAAAAACAAGGAAAAAACATGTCTAAATCTGATGGATGCACAAAAAATGGGATAATTAAAAAACAAATAATATCTGAGATGTAGACCACTTATGAAATACAAAAGATTCTAGTTAATATTTCACTTAAAGGTACTCTTACTATGTACAAACAACCAACCAATAATAATATTTTACCTAAAAAATAACCTCGTGAAGTTAAAATATGCAATACATAACTGAAGTTAAAGGCACAAGTAGTAGTTTCCAAAAGATATCTGGTTTTTTTTATAGGCTTAAAGCTCAGGATACCTTTGACTCTTTGAAGTTATCCCCATGTAAGATCTCAAACTCCCACAAAATAACAATATCATCTTTTAACTAATCAAATCAGACTGTAAAAAGAAATAAACATAAGAAAAAGAAAATCCTTCATCTCAACCTGAAAATGCGAGCTGCTTATACAACGTGCGATCCTCCGGAACAAAGGCACCATGCACCGCTGGAACTCCGGTGGCTGGGTTGCCTCCAACACCTCCTCAAGCTCCCCCAAGAACATCACCTCCTTCGAACTATTAGTGACCGGCCAATACTTAAGAAGCCCCCTGATAACGGTGTCGGCCAGCTTGCAGTCCTTCTCCACAAACTGGGTCACGCAGTATGAGAGCTGCTGGTGGTACGCCGATATGCACTTGGGCTTGTGCAGTGGAATAAGAGCCCGCACGAGAAAAAGCTTGTGCTCCTCCTTCAGGGGCAGCGCAAATCCATTGATGATACTCCCCAGGATCTCCAAGAGCTCAGCTATGCCATTGTGCTTTTCGGTCTCGAATATGAACCGGTAGAAGATGTTGTTGATGGCTTTCCTTATATAGGGACGGTGGACCATGAACTTCCCATATATGCGGTGGAGAACGGTCTTGAGGTAGTCCCGCTCCCTGGGGTCCTCTGAATCGAAAAGGTCGAGCAGCCGGATCACGAAAGAGTGGTCCACATACCGCTTCGCCAGCTTGGCATCCGTCTCAGGGGAGGCCACAAACCGGAGGAGGAGCTCGTACACGACCTGCAGGTGTGCCCACGCAGGGTCCATCAGCGGCTCCTCCTCCTCCAGGTCAAAGGCCTCGGAGGCCCGGGTCTCACGCGCCTGAGCCGAAGCCGTGCGAAATAGGTTCACAGAGACCATGTGGACAATCTCCTGCATAGCAGTCTCCGTGAATTTCCCATTGGCTGAGGCCACATAGTCCGCAAGCTCAACCAGTGTCTGCCGCTTGATGTCCTTTTCCTTCAGCTTCGCAGTGGGGTCTGTGAAGTCAAACACGGTGCAGCACAGATTCAGCTTCTGTAGGAAAAGGTTCTGCTTCTCCGAGTTTGGTACATCCCGGAAGCTGGGAAGAGGGTCGTATGAGCCGTTCCCATTTTCCTTTGCATGCGGCGGGTGGTCGTTGGGAAGCCTGCTGGCATTGTTCGGTGTCGGGTTGGCCAGGCGGGAGTTGGAGGGGTGGGTGCTTCTGGAAGCATTGGCGAGATAGTTGGAGGGGCCACCATCCCGGTTTTCTGCTAGCTTGCTCTGCTTGCGAGGAAGCTTGTTTAGAATGTTCTTTATCATCACGAGATGCTTCACGAATTCAATGTCTTTCTTCAAGTTAACTTGAATGCTGCTGCAATATATAATTGTGATAATTTCTGAACCAGAAGCGCCCCCTCCCCTAAATGGTAAAGAAAAGTGACCCAAAATGTAACAAATTGTGAATGAGTTCGATTGCTATATTCATGACCACAAAGATAAAGGCGAGTAATAAAGAAGCGGGTGCACTTACCTTCTAAACAATCAAATCAACTTTTACAAGCCTAATCTGGATATCAATGTCATACCGTTTACGAAAAGCACAGATGTAAAAAAGATCCATTTCACAGTCAAATTACCTAATTTGGTGAAGAGAATGAAGCACAGATATACGATTTGTGAACTCACCTCAACTTTCCATTTTTGTCAAGAATCCCAACTATTCAGCCAGATCAGGGCGTCTCAAGATCGGACCGCGATCGGGAAGAACCCAGCCACCATATTAATCAAATCGCCAGCAGAAAAGCAGAAATCAACCCACAGAGCAGAACCCTAATAAAGTTCAAATGCTAGAGGTGAAACTGCAATACAAGATAAGGCGAAAATTGTGGGCCATTGATGGTCAATCAAAGCATGCGTCTCGGTTTTCAAATTTCGATTAGAAATTACAGCAGAAAAAGAAAAAGAGAGAACAAAGATTGAAATTTTCGTGAGTTGAATCTGAAAATACGGGCCCCCAAGTGGGAGCAAAGAGAGAGAGAGAGAGAGAGAGAGAGAGGCAAAAAGTGCGCGATGGGGTTTAAGCAGAAAATAAATAAATAATGATAGATAGAATAAATAAAGCAAGCAAAGCAATTGTTGGGTGATGGTTCTTGATGATGTGTTGTGCTTGTGGTGCCTGCCTGCATTGGTGTATTTGTCTTTGATGATTTAATTTCTGTCTAATTGTTGTTTTTTTCTTGATTGTCTCTCTAGTAGACTCCTTTTCTTTCACTTTATTTATTTATTTTTATCCGTGTACTACATAGATAGGGTTGTAAACGAGTGGAGTCGAGTTTGAGCTTAGGATGCTCGGCTCGTTAAATGAACGAGTTTGAAATCGAACTCGAGTTCAGCTCGTTTAACACCTATAACAAACTGAGTTCGAGCCGATCATGAGTTTTAACGAATTAAACTATAGAAAATTATATAAAGATTCTTTTTTCGAGCCTTATCGGCTCGGCTCGTTCACCAAACAAGCTTTAAATGAGCTCAAGCTCGACTCTTTTATCAAATGAGTCGAACTCGAGCCTTAACGAGCCGAGCCGGGCCAGGCTCGTTTGACATCACTATACATGGGTAATTAAATATCCTAATATTTGTACGATAAAAAAGTTAAAATAATTTATACTTTTATTATGAAATTATGTATGATGAATATACAACAATAATAAATAACTAACGAAGTGATAATTATCGAATGATGCACATATTTTTTACACTAAATTTGTCAAAAATGGTATTTTTTTTAATTATATTTCTAATATTATAGATTGTTGACGGTCGTAACCGTCAGCCTTCTCCACTTGGGGGGTCGGACCCCCAGTGAGCCATTGACCATGCACCGAGACTCACTACCATCCACAATGCTCTTGCTCGAGGGTGAAAACTTATTTTTGGATTCTCTGTGGTTTTTTGTCCTTCCCCAGACTTGAATCTAAGATTGAATCAAAGATTATGTGGTTATTTTTATTCAATTTTTTTTAAACAAAACAAGTTTTATTGTATTGTGTCGTACTTTTACACTGAAATTGTCAAAACTGATATTGTTTAGTTATATTTTTAAAATTATATATGAATAAACATATATTATTTATAACTCCATACTCTGATTCTATTTTTTTTAAACAAAAAGGTTTATATTTATAAAGTTGGTGTTTCTCGCTTATTAATTTTTCAAGTATTTTAAATTCATATAATTTAATAATTTTGAATTTACGCATAAATGTATTATTTTCTAACTTTACAATATATAAATATATTTTATTATAAGTATAATATTTCTCTATATTTATTATTTTAACAACATAACAACATTCATTTTTTTTATATGATCTATCTAAATCGAGAAACAACATTTTATACCATTTCTTAAACTTTATTTTATGTAATACTTAATTTTCATATTTTATCCAAAATCTATGAAAATATACATTAAAATGATTATTTTATGGTGTATTATAAATTTGATTTATTATTTTTATAAAATATTTTTGTCGTTATTTGATACTTTAAATGGATTTAATAATAAAATTAGCTTTATTAATAAAGATAAATTAATTTATTTTTATTTTATATATGGAATATGGATGTCAAATCGAATATCGTTTGATATGACAAAGATGTCATCCGAGCTCCCTCGACTCGGATGGCCACCGTACCTGTAAGAACCCAAAGTCCGGGACCCCAGGAGGGGTGTCTGGCTTTGGGCCTCCGATGCTTAAGTCAGTACTGGATTCATATGAGAATGCATAGAGAGAGAGTAGGGAGAGAATGCATAGAGAGAGAGTGTAGTAATGGAATGGGGAGAGAAAAAAAATGAGTATCTTATCCTCCTTTTTATAGGGGGAGTGTACCTTATAGTCCATTTTGGGCTTGGCCTAGGTTGGGCTTGGCCCATATCATCATATCAAATATCTTAGCCCATGTATAGGCGTATCTTCAATATATATCCATAAAAATCGGTCGGGTATGACATGCTATATCAGATACTACTGGTCGAGCCGGCAGTACTAGCCGTGGCTAGATCATCTAGCCCCCCCCCCAACTCTGGTCGAGTGAGCATAACTCGATCCAAGGGTGAAAAATAGAGCAACTCGCCACTGGAGTCAAACACTGAAAACCGAATGGTTATAGAGGTCGAAAGTTAAGTGACCAGCCACTGGGGTCAAGCATCGGAAGCCGGATGATCATTGAGATTGAAATCCAAGTGATCCGCCTCTGGGGTCGAAAACCAAAAGATCTGCATTCGAGATCGAGAACCTAAGCTGGGATAAAAAAAACTAAAAGACCTCTGAGGTCGAAAAACAAAAGACCTAGCTCTGTGGTCGAGCACCGAAAGACCAGTGTCTGAGATTGAGTATCGAAGCTAAGGTTGAATGCCAAAAGATTTCTCTGAGATCAAGCACTGAAAATTGTCTGAGATTGGGTACGGAATAACTCGTCGCTACCTCCAAGTTGAGAACCAAAATTGAAGTCGAAAATCCTAATCCAAAACTGAGATGAAAAAAACAAGAGACCTGCGTCTGAGGTCGAAAAACAAAAGACCTGCGTCTGAGGTCGAAAAACAAAAGTCCTGCCTCTGAGGTCGAAAATCGATAAACCTGACTCTAAAGTCAACAACTGAAATACCTTTATCTGAAATCAAACTCGAAAGACCTGCCTCTGAGGTCGAAAATTGAATGACCTGGCTCTGAGGTCGTGTACCGAAATCGAGGTCGAATACCACAGGACCAATCCTCGAAGTCTTGAATTTAAAAATTTGAACTTACACATTCTGCTTTGTCAATTAATAATAAACCTTTCCGGTTACCTAATCCTCATCCCATCGCCCCCTAGTTCAAAATTTGAAATTCAAGCCTGTTTTGTATCCTCTCGAAGACTGAAAGACCTGACTCCACTCTCACATCGAAAAATCGCATTTGACAAAACAAAGTCAAATAAAACTGTCAACTTGCTCGAGCAATAATAAATACACTCGACCTGCCACCAAGGTCGAAAACAAATTCGACAAAATCAAGCTCAAATTCTAATCATCGACATGCTCAAGAAATAATGAATATACTCGACCTTCCACCGAGGTTGAAATACAATTTCGACAAAATCAAGTTCAAATTCGAATCATCGACCTGCTCAAGCAATAATGAATACTCGACCTGCCACCGAGGTCGAAATACAATTTCGACAAAATCAAGCTCAAATTTGAATCATCAACCTGCTCAAACAATAATGAATATACTCGACCTTCCACCGAGGTCAAAATACAATTTCGACAAAATCAAGCTCAAATTCAAATCATCAACCTGCTCAAGCAATAATGAATATACTCGTCTTCTCCCCAACCCTGCTTGCGAGTTGGTCGAAGTCGAGCAATGATTTTAGCAGCTTAATAGCTGATAAACGAAAGTTTTTCAACCCGTCTTCTCCCCAACCCTTCGTGCGAGCGGGTCGAAGTCGAGCACTGACGTTCGTTTTATCGATATGACTAGTATTGTAACTATAGTTAGACTTGTTCGTGGTTAGCCTTGAGCCGAATTTTTTTGAGAGTCCATTCAAAATATGCAACTTCACCGTTGTCAATATATTGACTTCTTGTAGGCTTTGTAGCCTTCTCGAGAATCTGCTTGAGAAACATATCGTAGTTATTTATAGGTCGACTTCATAGTCGTAGGCTTCGTAGCCTTGGAGAATCCACTCGAATTACAACTTTGTAGTTGTTTAAATCGACTTCGTAGTCGTAGCCTTCGTAGCCTATTCGAGATTCAACTCGAGTTACAACTTCGTAGTTGTTTAAATCGACTTCGTAGTCGTAGGCTTCGTAGCCTATTCGAGAATCCACTCGAGTTACAACTTCGTAGTTGTTTAAATCGACTTCGTAGTCGTAGGCTTCGTAACCTTGTCGAGAATCCACTCGAGTTACAACTTCGTAGTTGTTTAAATCGACTTCGTAGTCGTAGGCTTCGTAGCCTATTCGAGATTCCACTCAAGTTGCAACTTCGTAGTTGTTTAAATCGACTTCGTAGTCGTAGGCTTCGTAGCCTATTCGAGAATCCACTTGAGTTACAACTTCGTAGTTGTTTAAATCGACTTCGTATTCGTAGGCTTCGTAGCCTATTCGAGAATCCACTCGAGTTACAACTTCGTAGTTGTTTGAACCGACTTCGTAGTCGTAGGCTTCGTAGCCTATTCGAGATTCCACTCGGTTATTCCCTGCTATCCATTCCTTATTTCAACAAAGCAGTCCATGCTGTATCTAAATATCAGTACATCTGTTCATGTGTTTT